AGGTTGATAGTTCGAATTTCGCCATAAAAATAAAACAATTTACGGTAGACACCTCGCCATGGGAATGAAATAATTTACGGTAGATGTCCTGCAATATAAAATATATATATTTGCCAAAACATAAACGATAAAGAATTTTGTTGCAAGCAATAATTTATCAGCTTTTTTTTTTTCCTTTAAAAACCAGATACTATAGTATATATAAAATTGAAACAACAAATTACATGGTTAAGGCCAACTGTAGAGTTGCCTTAGCTAATCGATGAACAGTATCTACCATTTCTCTTCTAAAAAGGTTGTACTTTCACATTATATTAGCTCATTAACCTAGAAAAAATGTAAAATTAATCGTTTGCTTCAAAGACTATGTTATCCGGAGATGATCAGCTAGGAATTGTGATTTCGTCTCCTTGGTTGATCAATTTTTTTTTTTTAAAAAAAAAACGTTTTAATGCAGAGAAAACTACAAAACTTTGGAATTACCGAGGTATGAAATTAATTAAGATAATTGTACCAAATCAACGAACCACAACTAGAGATGAGATGCTTACTTCCAGCAGCCGTGTGTCTGACAAGTTTTTTGGATGCTCCAAAATTTTAAATTGAGCCTTTATTTTAATCGTATATGAGAACACTTTTATACCATATTAATTAAACGTGAGAGAAAAGCTGAACTGAGAACCATTCCATCCTAATTTACGAGGCACAGATAATTCAAACAAACGTATGAGCAGTTAGCACATTAGACAGAGGAAGTAGTAATTTTTGTACTTAAGAGTTTCTTTTCACTAATTTCGGAATGTAATTCTTCCTCAGGTTTCAGTTACCTCATCTGTTGATCACCTTAACTCAACTAACGCGATCGAGTAAGCTAAATTTTGTTGGTTTAATATCCGCATGTGAAATTGTGAGTAATATTTACTGTGTGGTTAAACTGCAAAACTCACTTTTATTTGAATTTTCATTTTTGACTGCAAAAATTGTTTTGTTGACGATATGAAGAAACAAAATTTCACAAAATGGTTGGTATGAATATTCCCACGAAAAACACAACTTGTTAAAGCTATTACAGTTGCTTCTTTTGGGTTTTCATTTTTAGGGGGAAAAAAGGGGTCATTCTTCATGAGTTCCAGCCAAGTCGTCGTCCTTGAGATGATCATTCTGCTTGCGTCGCCCTTAAGATCAACAAATATGAAAGCACCCATGATTCTTTTTTCCTGACTGAATTCAATCAAAATTCAACATTTTGAAACGTTGTTTTCTTTTTTTTCTTTTGCTTTGAAAATGGGACGAATGAACAGAAATTGATTCAACACACAGTCAAGGATTTTGAATAATAATTAGAGCACGATTTTCTCTATATTAATCCCCCTCTTTCCGCCTTTGATGACATTTATAAATCTCTTTACCTTTAACTCCGAATCTTGCATATCTGATTCTTCACTTTTCCCAGAAAACAACGCCCTTGCCTCCTTTTTTTGCACTTTTAAGTGCTCTTACCAATTTTCCCCCACCGACCTATACTTACATATACTACGACATACTGAGATATAGTATATGTACGTACATGCAAAATTACAGCATTTTCTAGATTTTCATCGTAATTAATTATGAGCATCTCTTTTTTTTTTTCCAGTTTTCTTTTTTGGACGGAGAAATGATCTATATATGTGAATTCACGGGAACTATAGAGCTTCTAGTGGATTTCATCATTTCTCCTTGTATAACCAGTACTCAAGTCTTAACTTTAGACTTGAACTTTCTTTTTTGTAGAAAACAGGAAAAAGATGTAGTACGTAATAACTTTGCTAGTGCAAGCAGTTGCCTGGTTTTTTGTTTTTTTTGGTTAATGAATAAAGAAGTTGCGTGGTGTGAAGTCTGAAGTCTCAACGACTAAAATGTACAATGAGTAGAGAATTAATCTTGTTTAACTTCCAAAAAAAGATAGTGTCTAGATTTGTATTTTTTTTTATAACGCCGGGAACCCCACCAGAGATGGGTAAATCCACGCCCACTGCAATAGCCTACAAACCACAGTGGGAGGTAAACCACTCTAAACATGTCCGGGGTGACAAGCTCGGATGCGAAATCGGGAATTCATTAGTAGGTTAGCCATAACAAGTCCCTAGAGGTATCAATAGACAAGGTGAGAGCTAACCTCTTACTTTTTATTAAAGTGGGGGATTTAACTCATGACCTCCTCTTAGAACAATGGAGGTGTTACCACTAAACCAACTCCTCATTTGCTGAATTTGTATTTTTAATATACTTTAAACTAGAAATAATAAAAATATAAACTGGACAATTATTTTGTAACGGGAGAGTATTAAAAATCAAAGGGACGCACAGGGAAGACCACTTGCCACGTCAGACTCAGAGACTCTTTCTTCATCATTCAAAAGGGTTGTGCCGACGGTGGCTACCGTAATTTCAGGGTGAAGGATTCTGTAACATTTTACTTTCTGAAGTCTATTTAATTTTACCCTTTGTTTTTTCATATTAGTTAGATACAAGTTACAATGGTCTAACCAGTTTTATCTCACAAGAAATTTAACACTGACTACATTTTGAAAGTGCACCAAGGTTATTTAAATGTGCTATTTATCCCAATATGTATTGAGTCCTTTCCACTTAAAAAAGATTATCGTGGGTTTTTTTTTTAAGATGATCGTGTTTGTTGAACTAAAATAAAGTAATAAAATTTTTATTAAAAAAAAAAAAATTGCTTTGCAGACGATCTGGTAGGAAACTGATTATATATAATCACGACCTCGATCGTCACGGTAATCATAATAAGATCGTTTAACAAATGTTATTTAATCCATCCTCAGTGTTCACGCTTGTAAGTTGCAACTAATGAACACTCATGACTCATGACTACGTAGAACAAATTATTCGTAGCCGTTTCTCCTTTCTCAAAGTCAAATGGCATCACTTTGCACCTAAAGTAGATTAAGATTAATTAATTAAACTTAATAATTAGTTATTTGCCATTTTTCTTTTTTTGCCCTTTGGGGGTCAAAACTCAAAAAACGCATGGGAATAAAGACCGGATTCGAATCGCCTCTCGTAATATCCAATTGTACGTGCTCAAAGTACAAATCCGTACAGCTTTGTTTTCGTATATGGAATCTCTCATTTTTCACCAAACCAAAATGAGAAAATTGCAATTGTCAAACATAATTCTTTGTTGTTCAGCTAAACACTAAAAGACGATGAGAAAAAAAAAAAAAAAGAAGAACAAAGAAGTAAAACTTGCAGCTTTTCTTGTTAAATCATTTGGTGGTAGAATGGTATTTGAATCCTGATCTATACAAATGGCCTAAATTGAACCAGTAATGATCATTCTCGGCCTCGAAGCATTACTCATGTATATCCAGAATCATATTATAACTGTTCTTATGCGAGTGTGGAAAATGTTTAAAATGATGATGTTTTAGGTTAATTCGGAGCTTTCAAGATCAATCAGAATTCATGTGAAGTGATGGTAGATCATTGTATATAAGATTTTATTTTATTAAAAAAAAAAAAGGTTTTTTGAAACAATATTTTTTGCAAGCAATTACTTAGAGGTTTTTTTTTTCCCCACCCTCTTCTAAAAAGTATATTTTTGGCCTCTTGCGGTCAGGCCTTATTCCTTACAATTTACTAAGTTGAGGGGGAAAAAAAAAGTTGTCAAGGGGATTAGGTAGATTCCTTGATATCTTTGTATATCAAATTAAGTACACATCAGGTCTACGTAAGTTGAGTCATTTGACCGCAGTGTAAACCGTGACAACACTTAATAGTAGTAGTAAAATACAAGATGAGCGTACAACTTTAAAAATGATCTTCTCTTCTAAGCATTTGTTTTTTTCTATATTTTTCACTATACAGTATATCAATGATGAGAACAGGTCTGACAAGGATATACCCGAAGAGAAAATCTTCCATACAGCTGCTGTATCACGTAGAATTGTGCAGCCAGACATATAAATAGGACAAGATTGTAATTTTATCGGGAAAGTTACTACAAAATTAGGGAGCTATAATATTTTTCAGTATAATGGATGTATTGATGCACTAAAAAATGGATACATTTGTTGTATGGAATAAATTTTCATACCCGAATTGAGTAAATATTAGTTTGAATAGGGTATCTCGTTTACTGTATTCAGAAAATAATGCATGTACCGGGATATCTGAAATTAATTAGGATTTAATAGTGATTTTGCTTTATAGCGGATTTTGGACTTTATTCGTGTGCCAGACTAAAATATTTAGGCCCATGCCATTGCCCCTGGCCTCCTACCAACAGCCACATCAAAGTCATTAGAGGCCAATTAAACTTTTACTAACATTTTATGGGTGATTAAACAAGCTATACAACTTTGAGAACAATTCAAGAAAAATTATGGTTAGTAGTCATCACTTCAATAATTTCCCATAAATATATAATATTTTCTAAATCGCAATTAACAAAAACATTATCTCCCAAAAATATATTCCTGACTTGGTAGATCATCGGAATCTTCATCGTTCCCAAAAATTTGCGACAAAATAAATATCAATATAATTATTTGCTATATTCAACGTCCCTTTAAACTCAAGCTCTCAATATTCGGTTGCTCATTCAATAACTGATTATGCTAAATCTTGTAAATTGAGGGACACATTTTGGTCGTCACCTCCGAACTGGTTATCTTTCAGTGATGGTTAAATTCGGCGTATAATGAACTTATCTTTTTTTAAAAAAATTAATAAAGAAATAAAGTAAATGCGAAAAAATTGATAAGAAAAATCTTACGTCAGGAAATGAAAAAGGTAAGTAAATATAGATGAATGATAACTAATTAATGAAAATATCACATTAATGATTAGTTATTAAAATAACAAATCAAAAAGTATAAACTCATTTTGCCATTTGGCTCCCCAAGGCCCAAGAGCCAAAAGCTGGTAAGTGAGAATATTAAAAACAAATTACCAAAATAAAGTGAATTTTTTGAAGGCTATAAAATGGAGTCCTAACCAAGCGAGTTCTATAGCCACCAAAAAATAACAAAAAACAACAACACATACATACACTAACAATATTACCAGCTCAGCCAAAAAAACTATATTCACTCTTCTTCATCAATCAGTCTTCCTTCCCCCTCCCTTTCATTTGATTCTCCTCATTCTTCCCAAAATGATTGTGGTGAAGTTGACAGGTTAATCCCCCCCACCAATACAGCTAATATTGTTTTTTGATTCCGATATCGAATCGTGGGAAAAACACCGCCGCCGCCGGCCACCACCAGAGAATTAATCCTCTGCAGCGCCGCCGAAAACAGAGCACGGGAAGGATGGGTCTGATACAACTGATTCTGGTGGGAATATTAGTGGTTTGTGTAACCATGTTCATGAAAGTGACGTACGAGACCATATGGTGTTACTGGCTAACTCCCAGACGCATCAAGAAAATCATGGAGAAGCAAGGAGTGCGTGGCCCAAATCCCCGGTTTCTAGTTGGCAACATTTTGGACATGGCTTCCTTCGTCTCCAAGTCCACTTCCCAAGACATGGATTCCATCCACCACGACATCGTGGGCCGGCTCCTCCCCCATTATGTTGCATGGTCTAAAATCTACGGTAAACCCAACCGGCCGGGAGGATTTTACATTTTTTACATTTGATTTGATTCCGGCCAGCTCATTTGATTTTCGTTTTTTGTTTCTTTTTTCAATCAGGTAAAAGGTTTATATACTGGAACGGAACGGAACCCAGGATGTGCCTGAGCGAAACGGAACTGATTAAAGAATTGCTGTCAAAATACAGCACGATTTCAGGGAAATCGTGGCAGCAGCAACAGGGGACCAAGCATTTCATCGGCCGTGGTTTGTTAATGGCCAACGGCGACGACTGGTACCACCAGAGACACCTTGTTGCTCCGGCATTCATGAGAGATAAACTCAAGGTTACACTACTAATTGATTATTATTACTGATTCATCTCATTTTTCAACTAGTATCCCCTGTTTAACGTTGTTTTTGACAGTTCTGTTTTGGTTAAAGTTTTTGTCTTTTTGATAAATTGGGGGTTTTTTTTTTTTTTCCTTTGTCTTCAGAGTTATGCAGGGTACATGGTGGAATGCACCAAGGAGATGCTCCAATCATTGGAAAATGCAATTGGGAGTAATAAATTCGGAGAAAATGAGGTTGAAATCGGTCAGTACATGGCTCGACTCACTGCCGATATTATTTCCAGAACTGAGTTTGACCGTAATTACGAGAAAGGGAAGCAAATATTTGACAAGCTCACCTTATTGCAAAAACGCTGCGCCGAAGCTAGCCGGCATTTATTTTACCCCGGGAGTCGGTAAGTCCGGCATCAGATCTTCTGTTATAATTTTTCACCCTTTCGGAAAATATGAAGTAAATAAATTCGATAACTAAATTAGCATTCCTTACTTATAAATTAAATATGATACTAGGATAAGGGAATCTCTTTTGGGCAGGGTGAACAGCTTTTATTTTTTATTTTTTTTTTGAGTTTTAATTAAATAATTTGTTTTTAACGTATATAACTCCTTTTCCTTGATGATATCTGTCGGCTAATAGTAATGTTCCACATCTTAACTTTTGTAAATCATAAAAGACAAAGATCAAAGATATATATAAAAGATTACATTTTAACTTTCCCTCCAAATCCCTCCGCCCTAGAAATTAAAAAAGAAACAATTTTTACATGTTTGGGTTGAAATGGTCAATTTCCTCAAGATTTGAAACCTCAATCCCGCACTTTATGTTATTGTCTTACTCTACATTCATTTCGAACTATGAAAATTAATCAATTCTGAAATTAATGAAAATTTTTTTATTATTTTTTTAATTTACAGGTTCTTTCCGAGTAAATATAATAGGGAGATAAAATCAATGAAGATGGAAGTGGAGAAATTGCTGATGGAGATCATTCAAAGCAGGAAGGACACAGTAGAAGTGGGAAGAAGCAATTCTTATGGAAATGATTTGTTGGGGATGCTATTGAATGAAATGCAGAATAAGAAAGGGGATGGATCATTTAGCCTAAACTTGCAGCTCATCATGGATGAGTGCAAAACTTTCTTCTTCGCAGGACATGAGACGACTGCCGTTTTGCTGGCTTGGACCGTCATGTTGTTAGCCACTAACCCTGATTGGCAAGACAAAATTCGTGCTCAAGTCAATGAGGTTTGTAACGGCAACCATCCAACCATTGACCAGCTCTCCAAACTCACCATGGTTAGTATCAGTTTTTATTAATTTATTATTTACTTTTTTTATAAATAAAAAAAAAAAAGAGATTATGTCAATATACTATAAGAGTTTTCGAGTTTTCGAGAAACCGTACCATAAAACTTCGGCTAATTACAAGTGTGATTAATTAGACTAATGACTTGCAAACAAATTGAACTAAAACTATTTTATCTTTTTTGGCCTTTAGTACTTCAGTTGGAGGGGAATACGAGAAGAATAAAAATTTGTCACGCCCTCATCGTTAAACATATACCATATGTATATTGGTTTTGCATTGGTGCAAGCTTCTAATTTCAGAATTTAGTATCCACTTCTGTCAGTGTTTTTGGCTTCTTTTTTTCTTTGGGCCACGAATTAATACTAACCAACTATAGTTGAATATAATTTAGTGTGCAAATCAACGTGTTAGAAGATGGAGACATAGTGCCAGTTTTGAGTTTTTGACAGGTTGGGGAGAATAATAATATCTTCGTTCACTGAAATTTAAGAAGACACTACTTATAATCATATCTTGGTTCTTAGTTTGGTAGTATTATTTCCACATGCTCTATGGGCTGGATTGCACTTACAACAGAAAAAAAAAAAAAAAAAAAGATTTAAGTTTGATTCAGTTTTATATCTTTTTTCAATACTGTGGAGTATTTGTATATTCTGTGACGAAAATATGATACTCCTTCCGTCTATTAATTAACTTAATGTTAGCGATTGAGATATTAATCTTAGTTTTTGTCCGATTATTTGCAGTTGAACATGGTGATTAACGAGTCATTGAGATTATACCCACCAGCAACAGTCCTACCAAGAATGGCATTTGAAGACATTCAATTAGGTGATCTCCATATTCCAAAGGGTTTATCGATATGGATACCGATGTTAGCCATTCATCACAGTAAGGAAATATGGGGTCCCGATGCCAACGAATTCAAGCCAGACCGGTTCAAATCCAAAACGTTCTTCCCCGGGTTCATGCCTTTTGCATCTGGTCCCAGAAACTGCATTGGTCAATCTTTCGCTCTCATGGAATCCAAGATCATATTAGCCATGTTGATCTCAAAGTTCAGCTTCACTATTTCTGAGAATTATCGTCATGCTCCCGTTGTGGTCCTGACGGTTAAACCTAAATACGGGGTTCAAATTCGGCTAAACCCATTAAATTAAACTCATAAAAAGATTGTCTATTTGTTTCGGGTCATGTCATTTTGGAATAGAAAAAATCACAGTTCCTCATAAATTTCTTTCTGGAAGAGAAGAAGAAAATCCTTATTTAGGAGGATCAGTGAGTGTCATTATTTTGTTTTTTCTTTTTTCTTTTCCTTTTAATCTCTCCTCCACTTTCACTAGTTTGAGCGGTATTTGTTGGAGAGAACTCAATTAAATATAAGGAGGCTCAAATTTATTTTTTTTTCAGCAAATGTGTTAGTTCAAAATGTCTTTGAACTCTACATGTATTTTACTAATTGTATAATTATCCAATGGAAATTAAAAGGCAAGAAATCATGATTAATTCTCTACTTTTTAAGGGTTGTCATCTATCTCTTACATATTATGGGCTAAAGAAAAAAAAAAAAGAAGATGTTAAAGTTTTGATAAATAGAATAAGAATTTCAGAAAAAGAGATACAATTAATTTATTTGTTATAAGACTCTTAGGATAAGCCCAAATTGCCTAAAAAAATCGTAAAAATGATAGATGACAAAGTGATGGGTAAAAAGGGTTGGCTCTTTTCTTTCCTGTGTTGCTCCACAAAACAGTAAAGGTAATGATAGTTTTTGATACAATTGCAATAGCCTTATTTTACCCAATTGATCGTGGAGTTTTCTACTTTCTTGATTTGACAAAGTGGTCAGATTTCAATTTGGAAAAATAGCCAACTTGATTTTATCTTGTATCAATATAATATATCAGCAGCTCCAAAATGGGTACTTTCTTTAGCTACCCATCATCGCCTTTTCATTCACCAGTCTGGATTTCTATTTGTGCCCTTGGTCCACCCACTTAGTACTATTAATTTGTTTACTATTCTCTTCGATTCAAACCCTCCTTTGATCTGCTTTAACAGGTGCGAGAAATTCCCCCCCTGCCTACATGCATTACTTAAAAACAGTTAAACCTACAACTTGCAGGTACATCATTTGACTAATGACGATCCAGACTGCTATATTCGATGTGTCTCGAGATCGGAAGTAACATAAATTTTGAATGAATTTGTTAAAATGGATGGTTGGATCCGTGAATCAGTTATAAAACGTGACGATCTAAGTTATCTCGCGAGTTAAATCAGCTGATTTAGGTTCTTAAACTTCTAGGACGGAAGAAATTTTTGAATTTCTAATAAACACAGTGATATAGCAGCTAAAGGCGGTGATTGATACCGTGTTTTGGGTTTTTCGGTCATTTAAGGAATTAATTGAATGGTCTAGCGGGCAATGAAGCATGCATCTTCTTCAACAGATACTTCACATTCATGTACTCTACCTAAAAATTGTTACATGTTGTGATGACCAAATTCATGGATGTTGTTGAATGTTTCAATTTGTTACCCGATCCAAACCAAACCACCCGTGTCATTTGCCGAAGTTGGCACCACGTTTTATTTACTTAATCTGCCTATTTAAAATAGTACTTTATTACAGTGAAATGAAAATGAAATATAGAGAATGCCATGTCCTTTTGGTCGTATCCTCCGAACTGGTTTTCATTCAACTGCTGGCGATTTCAGCTAGTAATTGAAGTAATTTTATTCTTAAAAAAAAAAAAAGAAAAACTCGTCACCTTTTTGTTTAATTTCTCATGTCCGTAACAATTGTTTCGAGCCAAAAAAAATTTGCAAACCATTATTCACCCAAGATTTGATTATTATTTACATAGGATATAGGGACATAGGCTAGCTAGCAAAAGCTTCTCTTCTTTTTCTTTTTTCATTAAAGCAAAATCTTTGATAAAGGCGATGAAGCGAGAAGTATATATTTCTCACAAAATTCGGGAAGACAAAACCAAGTTTGCCATATATATTTCTCTGAAAAGAGAGAAGTATTTAAATTTTCAACCTTTTATCCTTGTCTCTAACATAATAATGTTTGCTTTTAGTGAATAAAAAAAATAACAATCTTTATAACTAAGAGTAGCCACTTAGTGTGGTTCCTGCTAATGTAATTATGTTAAGTGAAGATACATAATTACGTGCTATATATTTCTTTTGTAGTTTTTTTATTTTTAGTGATTGGTTATTTTTAAATACAGACTATAGACATTATGAAAATAAACCTTCTTCGTAACGCCGAAAACAAGAGTACAACACTAATACTTGGTCAGCTACAAACATCTTACATCAACTACTCAATATGAAATGTCATTTATTAAATTAATCAGACTTAACCAGATGATGTAATTTTTTTTCCCCCTCATATGGATAGTTTTCATTTCTTTCTTTTTTTTTAATTTTATTTTTTGGAAGTGTATAATAGCCGTCAAGGTAATATGAACAAGTAGTCAAATCAACGTCCACATAGAAGAGAGATTAGGGAAAGAGACGAGAGGAGGATGGGGGGAATGATTAGATGTATCATGCACAATATAAATACCCTTTTTTTGGTTGAGTAATAAAATAATTAAATTGCACGAGTGCATTTCTAAAAGTTTATCAACCAAGTAATCATTACAAAAATCAGCACATCGCTTTTCCCTTCCTTCCCTTCTCTTTCTCACAAAAAGATTGGGTTCATATTAATATTATTATATTTTTCATAAATTTTTTGTTCTAAACTTAAATATATATAATTTGATAAAATAAAATATTAGAAACGTCCTTGGATGGTCAAAGTTAGAGATGCCTTTTCCTTTATAATTGTCAACTAGAAAAATATAAAGTTTGGTGATAAGATATCCTTCTTTTGTTTAATGAACAAACTAAACTTAAATGATTAATTTTTATTTTTTTTTTGAGAAGGACTTAAATGATTAGTTAAACATATTTTAGTTCATTATTTTTATTAAGCATTCAAGAATGTCGTGAAAATTTGGGCACCACCACCACCAGCAGAGTAATTAACAACCACCTTCATCACCCATCACCACCACCACCAAGGTTTGTTCCCAATGGAAAAACTTTGTTAGTTAATAATTAATTAAAAACACTAGTAGAATACTAGTAATCAACATTAACGACTTTTAATGATTTGATGTGCCTTTAGTAGGAACTAATTAAATGAGAAATGATTAGTACTAATGCCCACTTCACTTGTAATATCTCATCATCTTTCTTACCCATGTTTAACTTGCATGATTAAAATGGAGACTCAATTAGCAATAGACTTATAAAAAGTAAAAAAAAAAATTTGAACTGTAACCAAAGGATGTGTCCCCATCTGCCACATGATTAATGCTTCAAGTTGCACTAAATCGGTGATTTACCGCACTAACGGTTCTTTGATTGATGTAGATATTTGTTTTAAACTAAACACTTATTTTGTTAAACAATAAAACACGTATTATTTACTCTTTCTGTCTCGTAATGATAGTTTCGAAATTTGTATTTTTTCCGTCTCATAATTATTGTCAAATTTGGATTTTCATTTTTATTTCAAATTGTATTAAATGTGAAATTTCAAACTGGACAATAATATTGGAACAGAGGGAGTGTTATTTTAAAACCGTTGAATCACCTAAAAACATCAATGTCTCAGAAGTCATAACAATCTTGCAAGGTTAAAAGCATGAAGCATGTCAACTGCGGAGGCTCTTTATTATTAAGAGGGGTATGAATTGTGATGGTGGCGGCCGGCGGGCTAGGGCTCAGTGGGAGCTGACTTAATAATGCAATTAGCAAAGGTCTTATTCGATATAGATTTAGCACTCAAATTCGAGTTGCGGATTTCCATTATGCATTAACGGTCTTATTTCTTTTGCTCGCCCCGAGTCGCCGTGATGAAAAGCCACATGGGCGCTCGATTGGTCAACCTGCTACATAAATCAGTACAATTCTGGAAAGAATTAGTGTGTTAACTTCCTCATTTTTACATTAACCATTGGTTAACCTAATGCTCAACGTGCTGTTGATTTTCTGCTAAAATCATTGATGTTGTTACAATCTAGTTTAGTTGGTTTTTTTCAACAATTTTATACAGTTAGATCTCTGTAGTTAGATTAATATTATATATCTGACAAATTGTTATAGAAGATTCAACCGTTGCGGTATGTTTTCATTTTAATGTGGTTGTAACTCTTTATTATTATTATTATTATTATTATTATTATTATTATTATTATTATTATCAATATATTTGTAAAAATTATCAATTGTGACATAAGTTTAAAAAAAATAATAAAAGAAAATCCTGAGCTAAAATTATGAATAGGCCTAGAGGATAAGGCCATTTTAGTCTGGAGAAGACATCGATAAGAAGCTAACATGTTATTTCTTTAACTGTGGCAACGCATGCCAAAGTCCACTCGAGGAGAAATTTTAAGTGGACAATACTGCTGAATATTTTCAGAGTCAAATTATCTATCTTTCTTTTTTACGGACAAATGTGCTCATAATTTCATAGGGTATAGATGTAAAAGTGTAAATGAACAATGATACTCAACTGTGCCGAAAGTATTTGAGGGATAAGAATATTGGCAATTTTTGATGAAAACCAATATGATTGTAGATATATTATCGCATACAACTTTGACATTACACCTGAGACACAAAAGGAAAAAATGAAAAAAAAAAAAAATTAGATTAAGAAAGATGATTATTGATATTTGAAAGATTTGAACTCGAGACCTTTGATCTAACTGCACTTTACGTCTAAGCAAGATAAGGCCCCCGGCCAGCAGAAATATTCGTTACGTGCATCACGTGGATCCCAAGAAACTGTCCAAACAAAATACTACTAGTACATGGGTCTGCATGGCCTGCAACAATAATGGTCCAATAATGATGATGTATTTTGATGTATGATTGTTACTAGTGCAGCATAAGCACCAAACCCCCGTACGTACGATTTTCTGCCTCAATCTCAATGAGGGCGACTCCACAGTCCTCACTGAATCACATCATTTGATATATCCCTCCACTTTTAACAGTACATCAGTATCCACAATCCATGAGAGAATTGTCCTGTATACTGGAACAAGGTGGTGCAGGTTTTTTTTTTTTTTTTCCGCAATTTTCAGGAAAGTTAAAGAAACGTTTGTGACATATGATTACAAAAAAGAATCAAACCAGCACGATGAACACCCAATTTAAGACGGATCAAGCCTCATTCGTGATCAGAACAACACCAGCAAATGGAATGACTAGTGAGAACTAAAGATGAGATGGTACAGTCTTATAGATTTTCAAGTGGTGTAGACAGTGAAATTGATTGACTAAGAGTGCATTTGTAGATGTAGAATCAAAAACAGATCTTACTTAACACTTGCTCTATAACACTAGAGGCAGTTCAAAGTGGCCAGATAAGAGAAGCACTACCTTTCTGGAGCATATGCCATATATCATGATCTCAACAGAAACCCTTC